AATAAAATTAAATATAATATATGGTTTAATGATATTTATAGGTGGTGTTATGATTAATTAATTTTAAAAAGTTTATTTGTTTAAGATTTTAATTCTATCATTGTAATTATTTAAAACATCAAATAATGTTTTTGTTTTTAAATGTAACAATATAAATTATATATATAATATTACTTTTAACTATTATTGTTGTAAGTTATTTAAAATAACTTATTTGGAAACTCTTAATTATTTTAATTTGGTTTCAGAAATTTAACTTTTTTAAAATTTATTTGATGAATATTTTTAGTTTCTTTGATTGGAATTATTTAAAACAACAAACATTGTTTTTGTTTTTAAAGATAACATTATAAATTTTCTATATAATATTACTTTTAATTATTCTTATTCTAAGTTGTTTTTAAGATACTTATTTGAGAAATGATTATAAAAAATATTTTCATGTTTTTTTTGTTGATTTGCGATTACAGTTTAGGTTTAACACTATAATTTATAACTTTTAACTATTTATAAAATAGTCTCTCGATTTTTTTCAAGTTTAACTAAAATTTTGATTTAAGTTAACCGTTTAACATTATATGAAATTAATAATTTAACTATTTTGCATAAAATCATAAACTCTACAAAAGTTGTGACTTTAAAATTACAATTGCTCACATAAAACAACATATCTAAACTAGTACGTTAACTATAATATGTTAAAAAATTAAAGTCATGGTTTTATAAATAGAAGTAAAATAAGATACTTTAATATTGTAGTGTAGTTAATTTTTTATTAGAATTTAGTTTTTGTATTAATTTAATATTATTAACCAATTTATATTATTTATTGGAAACAAATTGAAAAGTCATGAAGGTTTTAAATGCACGTGGTGCAAGTAAAAATGTCTATTTTATAAGTATATTACCATATGTTTACGTAAATTCATAGCTATTTTTTAAACTAGAATCGGTTATTTAACAATGGAATTTAAAAAATAATTAATAAATATCTTTTTAATGACAAACTTAATCTATTTTAAAGTATTTCAAACATGTAGAAAAGAATTTATATCATCCACAGTTAGAGAAGCATGAGGAAGTTTTGCTGGACGGTAATCCGGATGCATATTTGGGTGCAAAACTAAAATTCCTTAAAAATCAAATCAGGAACTGGAAGAGAAGAATAGATAAAGAAGAAGCACAGGAGATTTCCATAATCAAGAATAAGGTGGCGTGACTAGAAAAATTGGCAGAATCAAGACACTTAACAGACAATGAACTGGAATGTCGTGACCAGGGACTCCAAAAAATACTGGAACTAGAAAAATTGGCGGTGTTGGACCTGAATCAAAAATCACGAATCAAATGGATCGTGGAAGGAGACGAGAACACCAAATTCTTCCATGGTTTTATTAACAACAAGAATAAGAGAAATAGAATCAACGGGGTGATGATAAATGGTAGGTGGACATCTGATGCAAGGATGGTCAAGATGGAAGCTCAACAGTTCTTTCAGAATAAATTTAAGGAACAATGGGTCTGGAGGCGTAAACTCAGTAGCCCTCATTTCAAAAAACTTTATCCACGATGGAGGCTATAAAACTTGAAGCACCTTTTAGTCCGGAAGTAGTGAAAGTTGCAGTGTGGGCTTGTGGGAGTGAAAAGACCCCGGGGCCGGATGGATTCACCTTCAAATTCATAAAAACCTACTGGGGTATCATTAAAGATGATGTGATGAAATTTATCCTGCATTTTGATGAAAATGGTACAATTGCTCGAGGTTGCAATTCATCATTCATCACTCATCACACTAGCTCCAAAAGTAAAAGATCCATCATCATTATCGGACTACCATCCTATTAGCCTCATTGGATGCATGTATAAAATCATCTCGAAGATCCTTGCGATAAGACTCAAATATGTCATAGGCAGTGTCGTCAGTGATGTACAATCTGCATATGTAGAGGGTAGAAACATCTTGTATGGGCCTTTGGTAATAAATGAAATATATACGTGGGCAAAGAAAGTGAAAAAGACCCTGATGTTCAAATTAGACTTTGATAAAGCCTTTGACTCTATAAATTGGGAGTTCCTTGATTCCATTCAATACCAGATGGAATTCGGCAACAAATGGCGTCTTTGGATTCACGGCTGTCTTAAATCATCAAGAGCCTCGATAATAATAAATGGTTCGCCAACAGAAGAGTTCAAAATTTCAAAAGGAGTTCGGCAAGGAGACCCACTTTCCCCTTTTCTCTTTATCATTGCAATGGAAGGTCTTAATGTGGCTATGGAAGCAGCGAGAAAAAAAGGGATATTTATAGGAGTTCAAATCCCCAACGATAGTCCTATGATATCACATTTATTCTATGCCGATGATGCTTTCTTTGTGGGTGAATGGTCAAGATCAAATCTCAAAAACCTCGCTAGAATCCTAAAATGTTTTCACGCGTCATCGGGGCTTAAAGTTAACTTTTATAAATCCAAAGTCTTTGGAATTGGGGCCTCGGAACGAGAAACCTCGAATTGGGCCAATATTCATGGATGTGAAGCTGGTTCTTTTCCATTCGATTATTTGGGGGTCCCGGTGGGTGCAAATATGAACCTAATAAAAAAAACTAGAAGCCAATCATAGACAAATTCCATTCTAAACTGTCAACTTGGAAATCGAAATCACTCTCCTTTGATGGCAGACTAACGCTACCCAACTCGGTGGTTGGCAATCTTCCCACATACTTCTTCTCCCTATTCATGGCTCTTGTGGCAGTCACAGACGAACTAGAAAGCATTAGAATAAGGTTTCTATGGGGCGGAGATGAAAACAAAAAGAAAATTCATTAGGTATCCTTGGACAAAGTGGTCGCACCCAAATCAAAAGGCGGTCTTGGCGTGGGATCTATCCGTGAATTAAACATGAGTCTAATCGTAAAGTGGTGGTGGCGATTAAAGGATGAAGATGAGTCAATATGGGGTCAATTAATAAAAGGTATACATAATCTTCATAACAAACCACATGATCTTCTGTCTAATAGGAATTTACGTGGAGTATGGAATAACGTTATCTCGGTTAGAAAGGATCTCAACAAATTTGGAATGGATATTGGAGATGTGTTCAGACTGCAGATCAAATCTGGTGAGCATGTGTTGTTCTGGCTTGACAAATGGCTAGGCCCACAAAACCTAGAAAACAAATACCCAGCTTTGTACAAAGTTGAATCTAGAAAGAGATGCTTAGTTGTTGATCGGGTGGCTGACGGTAGAATCGTTAGACACTGGAAATCATGCCCAACAGATGCAGGTTTAAATGACGATCTTGCTAAGTTAAATGAAGAACTATCAGATATTCGTCTAGTAAACGGTGGTTATAGGTGGAGTTGCATAATTGATTTAGATGGAAAGTACACAGTGTGTAATATGAGGGAAAAAAATCGAACTTCTCTTACACCCTCTCCAACTCCTCCCAATCCTTAAATGGAGCAAGGAAGCGCCAAAAAGAGTAAATTGCTTCATTTGGTGAGCTATGCAAAATAGAATACCCTCGGCGGTAGCATTAGCTACACGTGGAATCAATGTGAATTCATTAAGTTGTGGTGCATGTATCAACGGGGAGGAAAATGCAGACCACATCCTGATGCAATGTCTGTTTGCTTGCATAGTAAGGGAGAAAGTGTTCCAATGGTGCGGCTTACAACCCATATATTTTAACTAGGTTAATGACTTACTAGTCTACGTGGAGTCTTGGGGCAATAGTCTCAAAAGGCGTAAACGTTTCCTCACCATATGTTATGGTGTATTATGGAATATATGGAAATACGATAACAACTGGGTGTTCAAAGCGATGTTCACCAACCCCACAAGAGGAGTGGAGATCGTCAAATCTACGCTGTTTTTTTGGATCAAGTGCAGGGGGATATAAATGTCGGCACATGGGATGATTGGCAGGTATCTCCTTTTGAAAATTTGTAATACCTTACCTCCTGTTTAGGCCTGGCAATGGAGCGGGTTTTGACACTGATCCGATTCAAACCCTTAAGAATTATATGGGTTTGGAGCATAGTTAACGACTCGTACCCGTTAACCCTTTTATTAAAAGGGTCGGGTATGGATCATCACCAATCTGATTCGTTTATAACCCGCCCCGGATAAATTTAGAAATATATGTTTATATTTTATCATGTCTAAAGTTTTATTTTAACTGTAATCGAAAGTCCAAAGGGAAAAAGCCAAAGGCCAAACTATTTTTACATAGGACTCGATGAGTCAACTTCTAGATTGTCTATTAACAAGAATTATGGTATTATTTCATTAATATTCTATCAAGCAATCATTAATTTCATTTATATATCAATAAAATCATTATCAATCGGAAGAAAGTTTGCAATTGCTATTCTCTATAACCGCATTTGACATTCAAAAATCAATGGGAAGTTACTACAATAGTGAATTTAATTCCAATCGAAAATCCTCGAGTATGTAATGTGTTTTCTAAATAAACATTTTTGTTTGATTATTCAAAAAACCTACGGGTTATGCGGCGGGTTTGAATATCTGTTGATTCGATGGATAAAGATATGAGTTTGATTATTCTAAACTCTGCGGGTTACGGAGCGGGTTTGGATTAGATTTTGAAATTTGTTAATCGAAATTTGATCAAGGTCGATTCGCTCCAAACCCGTCTCATTACGAGGTCTACTCCTTTTTTGTTATTTCTTTCTTTTTGGTTTTGTCAGACTACGTCTTCTTGCTAGTTTCTGGCTAGTCGGTTGGTTGCTTTTTTAATAAATTTGCTGTTTCCAAAAATCTAATAATATATCTTAGAAGTCCTTTGGTAATTAATAATATCTAATTAACGGTTATTTTTCCAAAAGTATTATTGCTTTAATAATTACAAAGCAATTTTATTATTGTACGATGATGTTAACTGTTTTGTATTTGTGATTCCACAAAGCTTAACCTTTTACTTATTGTAATTCAAATACCATTATTATTTTGATTATAAGTTTAGTGCTTAATTTGTCGATTTATTTATGTTGTCTGTTTCTTGGCCAACTGGGGGTGTCTTCTTGCTTTTGAACCCATGATGATCTTCCTTTTTCTCTTAAAATCATATGATTTGATGCCTTTTACCCAAACCCGCTTTACTTTTATTACTTGCTTTGGTGGGTTTAATTTCTTGTTTATAAAACCCCCCAAAAATTGTATCTTTTTGGTTTTGGAAGATTGTCCTTCAGCATTCAGCAGTTCATGAACAGGTTGGCCTCTCTCTCTCTCTCTCTCTCTCTCTCTCTCATCGTTTTCTTTTCTATCAATCAGTTTCTTGTGATATATAAGTTTTTCTGCTGCTTTTGATGTAATCTATGTGTTTTTCGCATATATATCAGAGGGTTTTGTGTGTGAAACTGTGTGTTTAATTTCTTGTTTTAAACTAAGTCTTCTGAATTTTATAAGCTGACTTTTTATTACTATGTGTGTATGTGATATGTTGAATTCTATATATGATGTGTTTTTTCTTAACGCAGTGGGCAGTAGCATGAGTTGTGATGCAATGATTATTCTTCAGAATTGAAATCCTAATTTGTTTGCTAGATACCTTCGTATATGAATCAACTTTTTGACTTCTACAGTCACAAATAAGCAACCACTGAACTTCGAAACTAATAAAAAAACATATTTCTCTTGAAAAAAAATTGTTTGTTGATTTATTTATTTATTTTTTTAAAAAAAAACTATAAAAAAATAATCATTTTGTTAACTTTGAATTTGAGAAAAATAAATACTTGAACTTCAATAATCAAGAATGGAAATAGGAATAAAAAAGTGTTCATCTTCTGTTCCTGGAAGTCTATGTTCCACTATGTTCATGTTTTGAAGTTTATAAATATTGGTGTTTTGATCGAGTTGAGTATACTCAAGAATTGATGATTTTCTCATTCTTAATCTTAATTGCTATATATTTAGGGCTTTATTTACTGACGTAGAAAATGGCATCCACATCCACGCAATTTGCTACTTCGAGAAGGATGGGCATATTCGAGCCACTTCACCATATCGGAATGTGGGACGACGACACTACTAATTTTGGATGCGATATTGTAACCCCAAACACCGCCTCCTCCTCTATGATCAATAGGCTACCCAACAAGGTGGACTTTATCTCTCTATGCTTAGCCTACAAGTTATATATATATTAAATATGAAATTTTAACAATTTGAAAAGTTTGAATTTTTAAGAAAAATGAGAAAAAATTTGAATTATTAAAATTAATGAAGCTTTAATGTATTGAATACATTACATATATAAACATTTTCTAATAAATATCTTACATATATATTACCTTACATATTAAATATGAAATTTTAATTTAATAAAATGAAAAATACAATAAAATGACAAGTGGAAAATAGAAAATTTAAAAATTTTAGAAAATGTCATGTGTCCAAATGAAGGAGAATAAGACATGTGGCAAAAAAACCTTCATTTATTAAAGTATATATATATAGGGCCCACTCAACGAACACGGATGAAATGTGTGTTTGGGAAAAACTCTTTATTAAACAATACATTTTCATGGAATAAGACAACTTATATGTTATTGTACATATATATGTCTATACCATTATTTAAGGTACTAGATCTACATAAATAATGTTTAAAAAGGAGATTCCAATTTGAACACATCTGGCATATTAAGATAAACATATGTGTCGTTGGCATGTTAATTTGGAAGAACTCTGTTTTAATTAACACTGTTCACTGAATGAATCATAATATTTTAAGTAAACTCCACAAGTGGTTTATGTTAGCTTGCAAAAAGTTATGGATAACTTCAAAATCTTTTTAACTTTGGTCCATTAAATATTTGTTTTGCCTTTTTAACTTTTTTTTTTACCATATTAACTTTAACATTTCTTTTATTTGAATAATTAACCCACCCTCCACTACTATACCCTCCCCCCCACACACACACTAATCATGCCGGAAATCCTTTGACTCTTTACCAACATTGTAAAATTAAAAGGATAAAACAGTCATTTCAAGTTTTCCAAAATCAAAATCACAAAAGGTGCATATTTGAATACTAATGCAAGTTGAAATTTTTTGAACCCCTTCTATAGGATTTTTGGAATCCACTGAGGACTAATTTTGAAGTTTACTCTAGTAATTCTATACAAATATAAGGACCATGTTAACATATACATCTCCATTCTAACATATAAAGTTTCGATACTTTTAGACGGATTACATTTCGCAGGAGTCGATAGGACCTTCATCCGATAATGAAGCAGCCAAAAACATGTCTGATAAGGTGATATATTCCTTCATTTTCTCCTCTTGTTATTGTTATATATGTGTGTACATAAGCTATATATACACACACAGGGGCGGAGCTTTACTAGGGCGAGGGGCCCCCCTTGATTATATATATATATATATATATATATATATATATATATATATATATATATATATATATAGGGCGCGGAGCTTTATTAAGGCAAGGGGGCTGTGCCACCCCCCCCCCCCCCCCCCCTTTGATTTTTTGGTTATAGAAGTAGCCCCTATATATTAGTTTTATACATATTATACCTAAAAATATAAAATTTTGGCCTATATATTAGTTTTATACATATTATGCCTAAAAATATAAAATTTTGGTTGTGGCCCCCCTCTCACCGTTTTTTATACATATTATATTTCCACCCCAAATATATATATATATATATATATATATATATATATATATATATATTGAAGCTCCGCGCCTGTATATATATTCACTTGCGATGTAACTACGTACAGTTGCAAAGAAGGCTAGCGCAAAACCGTGAAGCTGCACGTAAAAGCCGTTTGAGGAAAAAGGTTTGTCCAAAACATTCACTTTGAGTGTGTTACATTTGGATCTTCAACTTCTATTTTTTTCTACATTGTCTCCATAGGCCTACGTTCAACAATTGGAAACTGGTCGTTTAAAGTTGGCGCAGTTGGAGCAGGAGCTCGAGAGAGCTCGACAGCAGGTGAACCAAAATTTCACGCAAAAAGACTTTCCTCTTTTGCTTCTTTAATTATAATCTTTTGGTCATTCATTTCCATGAACTCTTGGTGGTTGTTTGATTGATTGCAGCGTGTGTACGGTGGTTTACTGAATACAAGCAATGGTCTGTTACCTAATAATGTCAATCCAGGTACATGACTTAATTATGTTGTACATGAGTACGTACAATCCATTAATGGATCGTCTATTAAATTAATCCAAGTAAAATTAAGGTTTTAATTAATCTGGACTACTAATTGTAATTGGTATAGGTATCGCTGCATTTGAGATGGCATATGATTTGTGGGTTGCCGAGCAACAAAAAAAGGACAATGAACTTAAAGACGTGTTGCAAAGTCATGTAAGCGAATTAGAGCTTCGTATATTCGTAGACAGTGGCTTGAACCACTACTATGAGCTTTTCCAATTGAAAGCTAATGCTGCAAAAGCTGATGTGTTTTATACGATGAATGGGTTGTGGAGAACGCCCCTCGAAAGGTTCTTTCAGTGGCTTGGAGGTCCACGACCATCAGAGCTCCTATACGTAAGACCTTGTTACTAGTTTCTACCCAAAAAAAATCACAATTCACTTTTGGACGTATATATAGAGCTCCAAAAATACCCTTTTGTAGCTTATATTATAGCATGGAAAATATAAGAGGGCATAATATACAGCGATTATTAATTATGACACATTGTTTTTTGTTCTTTTCTCATGTATGGGTATGTAGATACTATTGCCACAACTTGAGCCTTTATCGGATGCACAACTGATGAGCGTCTCGACTCTGAAACACTCTTGTAAACAAGCCGAGGATGCATTGAGTCTAGGAATGGAAAAGCTTCAACAGAACCTTGCTCAGGGTATCACTATCGACATAACTGGAGTTGGAAGTTACAATGCACAAATGACTTTAGCTATGGAGAGGCTTGAAGGAATCGAGAATTTCTTGAACCAGGTAATTAATTAAATAATGCTACCTTAATTAGACGTTACATTCAACTCACATGAGATTTTTAAAGTCAAATATTAAAAGTAGTTACAACTTTTTGTGCTCCGCTTACAATGAAAGCAATCGCATGCATGCAGGCGGATCACCTACGACAACAAGTGTTGCAACAAATGTCTCGAATCTTAACCGCACATCAAGCTGCAAGAGGGTTGCTCGCATTAGGGGAGTACTTTCAACGCCTCCGTGCACTAAATTCCCTTTGGTCAGCCCGTTTTCGTGAGCCCACCAGCTAAAAGTATTAGAATCACTTCATTTAATTTGGTGAACCAGTCTTCATGAGACTTTGAGCTACAACAAACCTCACTTTCGCCACCAAGTCATCGAAGAAGCTTTGAGCTAGCTTTGAGATCACCTTTCACAAAGGTTTCCGATATTACAAGTATATATGATTTATGTGATCGGATATAATACTCATTTTACCAATTTATATTGTCCAAAAGCATATATGTTTTTATGGTTGCTTGAGAATGTAGATATAAAACATGATGTTGTGCATATATGCAAGAGGCTGAGTTTTCCTAGGTTGTTTTGAATTTCTAAGGGAGGAAGGAGTCCATCCCTCCCAACCCACTAAACCCACTGCCACATCAGCTTTTCTTTCTTCTCTCTTTTCCATCTTTCCGAACCCACAACATATGGAAACCCTATCTTTCTCAACCCACTCAACCCACTTGTCACATCATTATTTTTTATTTAATTAAATTAAAAAATATTACATAAAATAAAACATAATATTTTTTTTCTAAAAATTATTTTTTGCTAATTTGAAACCAAAAAAAAGAAAAAAAAAATCTAAAACGACATGAATTGTAATGACTAGCTGCTTTTTGTCTAGTTACCTAGGAAACAAAAGTAATGAAAGAAAAAGAAATAAGAGAAAAAAAATGAAAGAAAAAAGGTCACGGATCCTTTTGTGTTTTTTTATTTCTTTGAAAATTAAATGAAAGGCACGTGCATAGAAAATGCCAAATAGAGACATGCAAAGTAAACAAAATTTCTAGCGGGTTCTATAAGCTGCTGATATCAATTATTTCATAGCCCACTTAACCCAATTGCATTCACGGTATCATGACCAGGAAGTATCGCCGGTACCACCTCAAAAAACTACATCGACTCCCTCCTCCCTAAGTCTAATATTATGGTATTGTCCGCATCATTTTCGAATTTAAAAAGGGTTGCATGCATTCTAGAACTCTTGAAAGCATAAAATTTACTCTTATAACATTAAAACATATTTAATTTTGATGCATATATAAAAATTATTCAAAACAATTTAAATTGTTTAAAACTATACAAGGTTAATCACAATCAATATAAAGACATATTTATCAAATAAGTCTCAAAAGTTTTTTTAGGGGTGATATAAAACCGAAGATCGAACGGTAGCTAATTTAACCGATATAACCGAACCATTATTAAAAATAATGATTTGGTTTCTGATTTCTATTAACCAAATGCAAATGGTTCAGTTTTGGTTTTATTTTAAAATTGTCCCATAAAAAACCGAACCAAACCATTATATTTAATATATATATATATATATATATATATATATATATATATATATATATATATATAAAACATGTAAAAATACCACCAAATGTGTTATATAATAACTAACTATAGCGGAAGCCCTGGTGTGCCAATCGCACGGGTTTGAGTGGATTTGGATGAAATTTGTTACGAAATGATTGATATATGTACACTATTGAAGGACAACAATGGAGAAATATGTGACTTATGGCATGCTATCAACAACCCTTTTATATCTAGATTCCAGATCTATACTCCATTCGCGTATCTAAATTTCGACAACTCTTCTCTCTTCTCCGATGGTGATAAACGGTGGTTGCAAAAGCTGAGAAAGAAGATAGGACACAAATCTAGGGTTTCGATTCTACATCCCAGTCCTTCTGGATTTTGCATCGATGTAGGGATTTCATAACTGATTTTAGGTTTTGGGACTTCATCTCGTAAATCAGTGTTGATTAAAGGTTTTAGATTAGGATTTGGTGTTGATTATAGGTACTAGATTCTGGTTCTAGTATCAAATTTGGGTTTGAGTTTTAAATTTTGGTTATAGTATCAAATTTGATGTTGACAGGTGGTGGTTGGTGAAGGTGCCTACGGTGAAAGAAGATGGTTGTCGATGATTAGTAGGAGATAGTTGCCCGAATTGAGAAAGAAGACAGGGAATAAAGAGAAAATGAGAGAGAGATAGAGAGAGATGAAAATGATATAAGTTTTTAAAATTTATAATTAATCTAATTTAATTGATAAGTTATAAATAAGTGAAAAAATATAAAAAATGGCAATGTAGTCTTTTAAAAAGAAACGAGGGACTAAAATGATAAATTTAAAAGAAACGGGGGACTAAAAATGTTTTGGGGCATTTAAACCGAAACCACAAACGGCTAACAGCGATAGGCACTAACCATGCAAGGAAATGGAAACACATGGACGGTCCGAATTAATTTTTAAAAATACGGACTAAACTGCTTTTTGGTACCTAGCCAAGGGACATTCATGTAATTTACTTTTATATATATATATATATATATATATATATATATATATATATATATATATATATATATATATATATATATATATATATAAACTAATTATATTTCTTAAATAAGGAATTGAATTAAAATAGAATAGAAGATACACAAACCCGAATACATCATGTCACAAAGTATCAGTCGTGCTACGAATTTGATTAATCGATTCTAAACCGATTTCCACTATAAGAAAATTTTGATTTTGATTTTGTTACGGAAAATTATGTTGGAAAAAATTGAAATTTTATAGCTAAATCTGAATAACTACTAATTTTTTTTACACAATTTGTTAATGAGACTCTGTACCTATATTTCTTTTAGCAAAACTTTGGCTACGTAATTATAACATCATAGTAAATTTCATAGCAAATTTTATGTAGCAATTGTTTCATAGGAAATTCTGTAACAATTGATTCGTATCATTATTCAATAAAATTAAATTAGTCAGTTGAGTTTGATCATTTCTTTGTGATTTGAGCTTTGAGTTTTATGTTATGAATGCATTTATAGTTTTATAGTTGTCAATTGTCTGGACGAGTTAATTAGAAGACTATATTAGATGGTACCTCCGGTCATGAAGTATATGTCTAGCCAAGATGTCATTAGGAATGTGATTTTTTTACTCTTCCTTCGGTTAGTAAGATGTAGGGTAAATCATATGGTTTTTTCTATAGATCTATGACCTAAAGACCGTATTTCTATATTGAGCAAGGTATGGGGAAACCCGTAAGGCTTCAATGAGTATAATTACGATTATGTTTGAGTTATTGTTTTTGTTACGTGACGCTTGATGTGACATCCCCAAATTTACAGTCATTTTAAAATTTGTATTTCTGCTTATTTTAAAAGAGAGTATTTCTTTTATTACAAAATTGGTCCCAAAAATATTATTTCAATGTGAGATAATATTAACATTAAATATTTCGGAAGAAACGTTCGATATTGATATCTTTTCAAAACTTGGGATGTTATAACTAATACAAAACATAAGCATAAATAGACCTTACATTAGTTTATACTAATGATCTACATCCCCTTTAATCTCTCAGTGCAATGTGTCTTCACATCGATACCTGTGATACAAATAAGCTGAGTGGGTTAGGTTGGGAAACCTGGTGAGATACATAGAGTTTCAACCCACAATAATATAGGTAATTGATTTATTCACATATTTAATGTCAAATAATTAACCCAAATACCCATCCCTGTTTTTTTATTTATTCCTTTCTAAGAAATTATCCTAGGGACTATCACCTACATCGCCTTTACCTATCATCGCCTACATCGCATTTTCTTATATGTTTGTTTTTAAGGAGTTTTCTTAAGGATCATCGCCTACATCGCATAGATAGTATTGTTTTAGGGATTACTCCCCCAATACGTGTCCAAAAAAGGTTAGAGTATCATCGCATGAATACGTAGTTACTATGTCGCCTAAACTCCTAATTCATCACCTACAGGTTACGGGCATGCCGGTGTTTCCACATGACATTTTTAGATTAGTCATTGGTCGCCATCTATACTATGGTAGATGAGTACATCTCAACATCGCAAGTCAAGGTCAGGGCATCTCCAAGTCATCTCCTATTTATCATTACCTATCTACAATCACATATCTATCATTTCTTATCTACCATCCCCTATCACTACCCAATACATATTTATAAGTTTATAATACTTATATGATTAAATCGATTTGAATGTCATCTCATATTATTTTATCTAACACATAACATTTTCGGCACAAATAATAAGCACATAAAGCATGAAATTATCTAGATACTTCATATCTATATGTAAGATGAAAGTAACTATGCACTCACTTGATAAAAGTGGACGACTGACGATTTCGGCAGCGCTTCGCTTCGTAATTTCAAAAGACCTAGACGCATAAAGTACTAAGCCTTAGTTTAGTTTCGTAATCCTAGTGACTATGATAATTATAGTCTAGATTCCCACTAATCCTAATGTCCACATCAAGATCTATAAAGTAAGGATCAACTAGGCACGACAGTTGGGAGGCAGGATCATTTCGGCGTGTAGCCTTTCTAAAATCCAACAACCAAGCTAACGTGACCATTCTAGACATCTCTCCTATAAGTAGATCAATAAGTATTATGACTTGGAATCACTGATAAATCTTATTTATTGGTTCATAATAACGACTTATAACAATAAATATAAGTTACACTGAATACAAAAGAGTGTAGCTTAACTTACAGATGTTTTAGTGGAAACCGGGAAAACGTGCAGACAAAATCTTAACCCGAACTCTTCTATTTGTTGGACTCCTAGCCACTCCAAAATTTAGCTAAAATACTCTAGTTATCTTAAGAAAATCAAACTCAATAAAGGAAGATCTCCAGAGAGTTTATGGGCAAGTTGTGAGGGAAAATGAGCATGTTTTCACAACTATATATAGAAAAAGGAAGGAGGTGCGCCGCGCACAATGCTGGTATGTCCTCCTTTTCCTAGTGCCACATGTTGCTGCCTAATTGCTCCGCGTCATTTCTTCTAGAACTTCGCCATGTGTCACCTTCTTATGGCGCCACATGTCCAAATCATGTGGTGTCATGTCACCTAAACCCTTGCAGAAGTGGGCAGCCGACCATGCCACATGGCGCCCTCTCGTGGTGCCACGTCATCAACACGTGTGGCACACTTCGCGCACACAGTTTTTTCATATTCTTGAAATGGCTCATACGAGCTTCTTTTTTGATGTTATTTATATCCCCAGAAATCTCTCAACGAGATCTACAACTTTCCTTTAGACCTCAATAGGTAATTCTCATTCTATCAAGAATTTATATTTTTTGATAGACTTAGGTTGTCAGAGATCGCTACAGAAAGCATAACTCCTATATACAAACT